TGTGTCTCATAATCAGAAAGTCACAATTTGATTAGTAAATATTAAAAAGTTGCAGATTTTGTTAGTGAAGATAAAAAGAATTTTTAAATGTGATCTTTTATACTGTGCAGCAACTATGCAACGCATTCTGTTATGAAGGTGACTGCTGATCTCTGAGTGGAATATATGGTTTCTAGCAAATCTGACAGGAAGATGCTCAAAAAGGCATTAAAGTTTGCCAAAATAATCACTAATGATACGAGAAGATCAGCTTTTTGAAGACAACTGTAATCACTACTCATATATTGGTTATAATTTCAACTTAAGATGCCACTGACTTTGCTACTTCATTTTCCCTATTGGAATGATTTCTGTGTTCTGGTTGTGCTCGTTTCTTGAGCTCATCTCTCACTTTTTCATCTTTTTAGAAAAGCAAAGCCCCATGAAAGTGAAATTCTCACCATGTGCACAGTACTAAAGAAAAGTTTGCTGTGAATGACACTGCTATGGTCAGGCAGGAACTATCTGACTCATTTATTTTAAAATGGTAATTTTGCATCTGGTCTATGTGATGCCCTTACTTAAGGATTAAAGTAAAGAGCGAAAGATGCATGATTCTGCTAAGTCTTCCATAGCGGAAATACTAAAAAGATCCTCTTTCAATCACAGTTGCTTAACTTTTTAAAATGCACTCTCTGTGCTCGCTTCAGCAGCACATATACTAAAATGCACTCTCTCTTGAGAAACAAAAAGCTAAGGTTCTCTTTTGACAGTATTGGAAAAGTGTAAATGAATGATTATAAATAGTTAATACAGGGATATTTTTAAGATTTATATTTTTCTTTTATCTGGGAGGGTGCTTTTCATCATCATTGTTACTCCAGGCATTCAAAATCAGCCTGACACAAGGCTGCCCCTGTTTCTCACAAACTTTTCTATCCTGGGAAAACATCAGAGAAAATCATTGAGTAATTTCACTATTAGGCCTGTTGCCTTGCTTTATTTTCACAACCAGAACAGCAAGTAAAAATGGGTGGGTGGGTGAGTGGGTGGATGGACAGATGGATGGATGGATGGATGGACAGACTGAGCTTCTGCCTTTGAAGGAAGTGTTATCTACACCTCCATGAAAATCATGACTGCAGGTGCCAAGGATTTAGCTCAGTGGCACCGAGCCTGCCTAGCAAGCACAAGGTTCTGAGTTCGATCCCCAGTTCCAAAAAAAAAAAAATCATGACTGCAGATAACTCCCAGAAGAAATTCTAATCAAGGCCATAGGATTTAGAAAAACTACTGTACTCAAGATTTCCTTTAATCAGTTTAACTCAAGTACTGTCTAATTCACTTAATTCCTCAGAGGGTTATTGTAAGCCCTCCAACACACAATCAGGATACCTCGTTGGGATGGCTGTCTAAGGCAGAAAACAGAACTTATTCAAAACATTGCAATTCAAGTGTCAGGATGGCTGAGTGGTCTAAGGCACCAAACTCAAAATACTGCAACTCAAGAAACTAGTCTTAGGAAATATTAATTAAGAAAAAACAGTGCATTGTATGAGATGACATCTATCATAATAGCCAACATGTCGTAGAATTACAAAGTCAATTGTAAAAAATAGCTAAAGTTAAGGCTCTTAGGTATTCCATTGGAGATTTCTCAACGAGATACTTTCAAGGTAGAAGATGACAGGTAGAACTGTGTCATATTTAAGGAAAGCCCACTGTAGAGGCATATATATATAACCATATATATAAATATATAACATATATAACCATATATAAACATATATAACATATATAACCATATATGTAACCATATATATATGGTTATAACCCATAGAATTTTGTGAGTTGTAAATGCTTTAATTAACCTACGAAGTAGTGAAAATGCATAAAGAGAATGAACTAACATCTTTTAATTCAAATGACAATTATGCTGGAGACTGTGAAAGTTTCCTTAATTTCCCCCCACATAACTTAGTGCCTTTTCTAGGTAATACACTATTTAAAGTTTTGGAACACAAAGATTATAAGCATTTTTTAACACAAAAAAGTTCAATCACAGCAGCACCATTTGGGCTTATCTGGAAATAAATGTTTAAGCTGAAATTATTGGTTGAATAGCAATATTTTTTAAGTATCAGTATTGAAGTATGTATGATTATGAGTGTGTTCTAAGGGGCTCTCTGCTCAGGGATTTCTAACTCATCATAAAAAAGTAGTAACAACATGGCCTTTTCAGGAGATGCCTTAGGGCTTTAGAAAGAAATGGGTCATGTTGAAAAAGTAAAGTACAGAATACAGAAGAGATTGATATTACCTTCCACTGAACATTTAACTTGAGATTATTTAAAGCAAGGCTTTTCTGTCTATTAAAAACCCCATGTGAAAAGACAAAGATTTATTCTACACAGACCCTAAAATGTATGATATTTATATAACTAATATTAGCACCACTGGGCATTGCTCACTCTGAAATATTCAGTAAGCATTTTATTCACTAATTATGATCCTATCATTTTTTGACTAGTATTTTCAGATGTTAGATGCCTACCTGAAAACTGATATCTATTTGGTTGCTAAGAGATATAAGATCAGTTTGGAAGGCTTCTATGCCTATCTGAGAATTGCCTTCTTGCATTTTGCCTGAAGGTAATGAAAGTTAACTCTGTTACTCATGTGAGGATTTATCTTATTTAGGTTTCAGAAAAGAAATAAATAACTTCCAATTTGCACAATTTAGAACAAATATCTGGCTTTTCCCAGCTCTTAATGATTTTCCATTTCACAAAACTAAAATATAATCACATTCTTTTATAAACAAATTAACTAATGAATCTATAGTATGAAAAGCATTTAGTATTTTGACAACAATCTTATAAGAAATGAAGTCATTCATTGAGCATCCCCAAAATGAAGTTAAACCTTGCATCCCCAAACTGAAGCTCAAACTCAACATTATAAGAATATCTTTTGCTTGTAACTTTCACTACATGATTCTTAAAGTGTCTGGAGGGACAAGATAACTTGGTCTATGTGGTTGTCTTTATACTTTATCAGCGTGCTGCTAGAAATATGTACTTCCCAACTGGTCATTAGCTCATCAAAAATAAATATTTGCCTAATCAAAGAAAATATTCCTCTAAAATAAGAGCAGTATTTTAATCAGCAAATATGTTTGCTAATGACACTGAGGCTCTTCACATGCTCATTTCATAACCTTTCAAGGACAAACTTTTAAATCACAGTAGACAAAACTGCAGTGAAAAAGGGTACCATTGCAGAAGCGTTTTGAATTACTATAAATCCAACAGGTTTGATTTTTAATTCCTAAGTATTTGTCACAAAGCTTTTGGTAATTTATTCTAATTTCCTACCAATGCTTTACTGGAGTATTTCGCAAAGGAACATGACAGAATGCCCTTCCTCGTCTACTAAGTGGGCTGATAATCTCCATTTGTCCAGTCCTCTCCATACTCAACTTCCGACACACCGTCACCCGGCTGCCCTGTTGGTGATTCTGGTACCTCATGTGCTGCCTTTGCACTAGGTCCCATTGCTACCACTTCTGATTCAAGAGCATTAAAAACATTCCTGTTACAAGCAATGCCTTTGAAGTAGGTGTGCAATTGAGAAAGGGCTACCAAGTGCCCGTCTTCAGGGAGAGAAGATGAAAGTTCCCTCCATTTTCTAGGTTTCTGCCTATTTCAAGAGTCACACCTTTACAAACAAGTTCTTTCCTACTGAGAAAGAAGAAGGTAAGCAAAATGGTACACTTGGACTCAAATAACATTTAAGGAAGAGGAAAGAAAACTTTCGGAGATGAAAAAAGAAGCAAAGCAACCAATCTCCGTCACTAAAAGTGACAAAAAACCCCGTCAGGTTTTCCCACCAAGTTTTTGTGCAGCAGCAATAACTAAATCAATATGCTCATCCTCACCCTCAAGAAACCTCTTGTCCCCACACAGAAACTGCTGGGTTCCTCTCCACTGGGTTTTCCCAGTAACTTTGGTGCAGCAGAGACAACCTAATCAACATACACATCCTCACCTTAGAAACCCGCTTGTCCCCAAGCAGAAAGCGCTGGGCCCGTCTCTGCTGTGTTCTCAGGGTCAGAAAACACCGCTCCAAAGGGAGAGAGTTCGGAGGTGCAAGGAGAGGCAAACACAGGTATTCGCAGCTCGAGCATCCGTATCTTAGTACCAGCTACAAATCTGTTAAGTCCATTCAAGAACCAGGCTCCTAGACTGGCCTGGCTCCGGGCCTCCAGAGGGTTCAGAAGAGCCTGAGGGGTCAGCAGCACAGTTCTCACGTTCCCAGCAGTGACCTCCGGTCCCCCTGCGCCCGCCCGCCGAGGCCCTGCCTGTCTCAGTCCTAGTGAGACCTCTGAAGTAGGAGAGGAGGTGCGTGGGTGGTAGCCAGGGGAGACCAGTCGGGCTTCTCCGCGGGAGGGAACTGCTGGGGCTGCGTCTGGGGGTGATCGTGGGGAGGGCGCTTTAGGAAGCATCAGGAAATGGGGTGTCTGGCATCAGCGCCCCTCACTACCCCCACTCTCTCCACGCCGAAGGGACCACTTGTTCCGTGGCTGACGGCGGCGGCCGCCTGCAACTGGGATTGAGGCTGAGAGCCAGCCGGGGCCACGGCGGCATCTGCCAGGGAGCGTGCAGGTGGGCGCAGCCTCGGAAGGTCAGTGAGGCCAGAGCCCAGAGTTAGCCGTGCCGGGAGAGTGAGTGCGAACACGCGCGCGCCGGGCCGGGCCGGGGGCGCCGGGCGAGACAGTACGCGCGGGGCCAGGGGTAGCCCGCGGAGAGGCAGCACACCCCGCCCGCGGGCGGCAGGGATGAGGGGCGACGGAGGCTGCAACACTGTGAAACTTGGTGCAAAACGCAACCCCCCACAACCCCCGGCAGGACGTGCCCCGCGCCCCCAGGCTCGCCCCAACGCCTGCTGAGTCCTCCTCCGTCACCCGCCCCACCCCGCCAGATCCCCCACCGAGCCCTCGGTTCCCGGCGGGTCATTACCTCTCCCGGAGGCTGAGCGGGGGGCGGCGGCGGCGGCAGACACTTTTGGGCTGACTTTCCTGGGTTCGCGCCTGAGCTTGTGCGCGCGGAGAAGGAGCTGTAACCTGCTATTTATAGACCGGAGCCTTACACCGGGGGCCGAGAACCTGGAGCAGACCAGCAGGCGGCGGCGCAGGGTGCGGGCCGCGGCTCCGAGCTCCGCCGCCCTCAGCTGGGCTCGGGCTCTGGCCGCGCCCCCCGCCCTCCCAGCCGCGCGCGCCCGGGAGAAGTTGGTATCGGCGCGGCCGCCGCGCGGCTCACACGCCCCCTGGCGCAATTGCTACTCTCCCTCCCCCACCGGGCCTGCCCTCGTCCTCCTCGTCTGCTCTCTCCAAGCGGTCTCCTCCCAATGTCACCAGCCACCAAATAGGAGCGTCAGCGACGGAGATAGTCGCGCAACTGGCGCAGCTCGCCTCCCGCGACCCAGGGTGCGGAGTTGGCGGCCCAGCCGCACACCTCGAAATGACCCAGACACGCACCCAGACCGTCCGCTCTCGGACAACGACATCCAGCCTAGGGTGGTGGTATCACTGCTGCGGTGAGGAGGGGTGACCTGGGGTCGCTCAGCTGAGGCCAAGCAGGAGAAACCTCCCAGAAAAATTCCAGCGGGAGGAGGCGCCCCAGACCTGAGCCAAGGACTGTCCCCAAGCCCACGCCTGGGGGTTGAAGGTGTGTGAAGCGTAGCCCCACTTCGGGGGATTCTTTGTCTGTCGTCGCCCTGGGAACCCGTCTCTCTTGCCACTCCTGCCTTTTGGTGTGGCCTGGCAGACCTGGGCACTGGCTTTGCTTGCAACTCAGAGCAACCCCCAGCCGCCCACCGCCAGCCCCACGGTGCAGTGTGCGGCTGAGGCCGAGTTGCTCCCAGGGAGCGTGAGACGCGCCTTTGACAGCTGAGTGCGTGGGGACAAATCCGCCCCCGTCGTGTTTGGGGTGTCAGGAAAACGGGGCATGTAATCACGCAGTCTGGAAGGAGACTAAAACTCTCCCACTTCCTCGCCAACAAGCCCACTGGGGGAAAGCACGCCGCCTGGTTATTCCAGGCTGTGGGGTGTGGGGCAAATGACTCTCCCCATCTGCGCCTTAGAGGTGCCACCTGCTGGTTCTGTCGGAAAGGTTTTGTGGAGCTGCTCGCAGGTGCTGCAGCAGGCCCCAGCTGGCCCTTATGGCCCCTCAGCCTTTCTCTCCTTACTGGCCCTTTAAATTCATATTTTAAATAAAACAGTATGAATGCTGGCATGGAAGTGTAACATTTGCCATTCGAAAAACCTATAATCCTAGTCAGGATGGCAAAATCAGTTCGGGTTAAGTCAGTGCTTAACAGTTTCACAAAGTGGGAAGCTGTCTGCCCCCAGCTGTCACCCCTGCTGTCGCTGCCTGGATCCAGGCATCCATTCACTCTACCAGCACTTGACTACTACTGGTTTACAAGCTTCTTCACTGAGGGCGGGGGACTTGGGTTGTTTGGGTTCGGGGGTGTTTTGTTTTCACCACGTGCTGTAGTCTCAACAAATGGTTATAGAATAAGTTAATAAGCACCATGGTCCAGAACATGTGCTTGGCCTATTCTCTGAAGCCCTGTCCCTTCTTTCTGTCAAACCTGTCTCTGACCTGTGCAGCCACAACCACAGGCAGGCTGAATAGAGGTGAGGGACCTCGGTTGTCATCCTGTCCTGTCAGGGCGCGGGACACCCCTGAAGAGCTGCTTACACTGCTGGAGTCTTGCTGCATGGGGCAGTACTTCAGAGTACCCACTTCCAACATGATGAGTCCTGCTAAGACTTTCAGCCTTTTGCACAACAGCCTCCTTTTGTTAAAATACAGACATTTCAGTCTTTTGTTAAGATGCAGAAAAAATTGAAAGACTATTAGAACATTAGGGTGCCAGAGGTTTGCCACGGAATTGAAAATATTAATAAATCTGGCCTCCACATGGAAGGATGTGTGTGGGGGGTGTTTGCGTGCATGTGGACTGCTGTAGCACTGCCAGAAGTCCTAAATACTCCTAAAATACAGAATTGTAAAATAGACACACTTATTGACTCTGGAAATGAACACTTAAAGCAAGGTACCAGAAAACCTTATTAGACAGTAATTAAAATTCAGACATAGATCATGCTGATGAAGCCCTTTTATAGGGTGCCTGAGGAAGATGTGATGTACCTGTGTATATCTTTAGGAGAGACAAATAGACAAATGGACACAAGTTGTTATCAGGACCCTATCACATCTATGTGCCACATGACAATTTTTAAAAATCCATCTATCAGCCTGATATTTACCCTTTTTTGGTGATTTGGCAGCATTTTCCTTGAATAAACCTGGAGGATTCAGATGCTTTTGTGGTTTTTTAAAACTCAATCAGCCTTTACTTTACAAACCTTGAACTTTCAGCTAGTTGTGCCCCCAAAACATAACTCTATTTGCCAAAGAAGAACAAAATATTTTTCATTTCCTTTTGAAATATTTTTGTAGGACCAGAGGCCATAGGTGATTCTCAGTAGTTACCTTGCTGTCTAAAGCAATAAAATCAAGTCAGGATATGCAGAACTGGTTTCACACCCCCTTTGCAGGGAGGTAGCTTAGTCTTTCCGTACATTCATCACTCCTGGAGTTTTTTATTTCAGTGAGATTGCTACAACACAATGTGTATCTAAAGTTTTATAATCTCTTCTAAAATGTAGTGCCACACAGAGGGTTTTCCTTAACCATAGTGTTGATTTGTAGTATTGATACTTTGTAAAGAAAATCCCTTGTTTTCATCTTGTGTCAGTCAGTGCTCACTGGAGAAACAGGTTTAATGTAAGATATATGAATATGTAAGAATTTACAAAGAAGGCTTAAAGGCCACACAGTCAGATGTAGAAGAATGCAAAAGATCGTCTGCGGGCTGGAGATATGAAGGATCCAATCAAAGGGCAAAGGCCTGGAGCTCACTATAGCACCCTTCATAAGTACATATCAGGAGGTCCAAGGACTGTGCTACAAGGCTGAAAAGTCTGTGCTAGAAGCCAGGAGATGTCGTGCAAGGTGAAGGTGAAGACTGGAACTTCTCTGAAGAAACAGAAAGAGCCTCCCTTCTTTGTTTCCCTTTTATTCCCTTCTGGCAACAAGCCCATTGGTTGGTACCACTCACACCGAGGGGGGTCTTCTGTCTTCAGTAAATCCCTTCAGCCACACCCGAAACTATGCTAATCCAATTTAGTTAGGCGTTTCTTATTCAAATTGACACAACAGTTAACTATCACACACCTCAGTTTTTTAAAACATTATCTGCAAGAGTTAAATTTGTTATTCATGCATTTAGATCAACTGGTAAGGCGAGTACCTTGCTTTAAGTACTTTTCTCATTCCTGAGACAAAATATTTGACACCAAAAGTTAAAGGAGGAGAGGTTTATTTTGCTCACAGTTTGTAGAGACTTCAGTTCACAGTCCTTGGCTGGCTCCAAGGCAGGGTGGCATGGCAGAAGGCATCGCAGAGCAGAAAAAGATCACAGCAGGCAGAAGCAGGAGGGCAGCAAAGCAGTGAAGTAGCAAGCACCAAGCAAGTGATGACAGCAGCCCTCTTTCTGTAATAATCTTTTTATAATCTATCCAGGCTACACACCCATAGGGTGGGTGGCACTCATGCCCAGGGTAGGCCTTCCCAGGATCCACACCCAGAGCTATGCCAAACAAATTAGTAGACTAATTTATTAATCAAACACCCTTAATTCCAGCATCACACACACTAGATCCAGCTACCTCTGAAAAGCCCTACCTATGACCACATAAGTCTTTGAGGGGACATTTAAACACAAGCCATAATAGAGTGTAAGGAAGAAAACATAGGAACAACAATTCTGTGGTGTACAGATGCCTATGTGAGTCTCAGTGCTGAGGGAGATGGAATATCCCTTTCTGCTGCTGGCTTGTCCCAGTAGAAGTAGCAGTGTGATTTTATGATCTCTTGACATGAGACTAAGTATGAAGAAGGAATTAAGTTTCTCAGAGACAGTTTACTTTAGCTTCTATTTTTATGGCAAATGAAATCACAGATATTTTAAATGAAGCAAATGGGTGTAAGATGATTTTATATTTACTGAAGGTAAACATTCTGCTCTCACCTTAAGTAATATACTGCATTTCTAAAGTTGTATATAAATTATAGATTTGAAATTGAATCATATTTCAAAATATTATAGGATGGAAATTTTTAACATTCTTATGGTTATAAACCCCTTAGAAAATTTGGAGAGAGTTGTAGAGTTTTTCAGAAAAAAAATGAGTTTAGGCATATACATTTATAGCAGGATGATATGAATCATAGTACTGGGATCTGGATCTTCAGACAGCATGTTCCATTTGTCTTCTCCCAGTCATCCTCATTTGAACAGCCGAAACAAAGACTCCAGATTCTTGACAAAATATGCAAACTACCAGTATATATAAGCAAAAAAAAAAAAAAAAAAAAAACTCTGTGTGTGGCCCATATGTGAACCCAGGAGCTAGGATGCTCTCCTTCCACTCTGCCCCTGAATGAGACCTACATGAGCTGAGGTATAAAAGAAGACAGAGACCTTAGGAGGAAAGGAATGTGGGGAAGAATGCTGTATTTGTCTGCTAGTGCTGCTATAGTAAAGTACGGAAGACTAGGAGTCTATGGAGATCTATTTCTCAGTTCTGGAAGCTAGAAGTCCAACAGTATTGTTTCTGAGGCATCTCTCATCAGCTCAAAGATGCCACCCTCTCTCTGGTTCCTCATGTGGTATTTTCTCTGAGTACCCCTCCCTGAGGCCTCTTTATGTATTAAACTTCCTCTTTTTATAAGAACATGAACCATATTGAATAAAAGCCTTCCCTAATTCCCTCCTTTTAAGTCAATCATTTCTTATAAAGGCCCTGTCTGCAAATATAGTTGTATTTTCAAGTACTAGGGGTTAGAGCTTCAAGGTATGAATTTAGAAGAAATGAGAACAATATTCCAGAGCAAGTCTAAGAGTAAAGGCATGCTATAGATTCACTTTTATTTAAAAAGGACCCAAGAGCAAACCTTGTAGCCAGTTTTTCCATTGGATTATTTTGAAAATCTCAGTCTTGACAGAAAAGCCTAAAACACATAAGTGTATGTAGAAAAAGAAATACAAATGTCAGTTTGCCTTATCTAGATCCTCAAGTGCTAAGGATCCCTGAACTTTCTCATGTTGTCCGAGTGACA